CCCGCCCGCCGCGCTCCTAGCATCGTTTCTGTAAATAGTGGCCCGTCTGTGAGTTGAAGGGCCCCAGGGGCTAACCTCAGAGGAGGGGACTCCGGCCTTCAGGCATTTTGGCTCCCGCAGGTGTGCTCACTCGGACCCACCTGGACCGGCGGGAACCAGACCGCCGACCCGCGGGCGATGGGTTTGGGAGCAGCCGCGCTGCCTCGCACCCGGCACCCGGCACCCGGCACCCCCGGCCCCGCCCTGCCTCCCGCCCCCTGCTGCTCCGAGAGGCTGGGATGGTCTCTGGGTCTTGAAGATTTCAACTGGGTTTTCCTTCCGTCAGCTCCTGTCCCGACTGGTTCCCGGCTGTGGGGCCACCGGCGGCGTCACCAAGGACTCACTGGGCACAGCGCCTTTCCCGGAGGCGCTGACCTGCTGGGAAGCCGTTTCTCAAGCCCTGGCGTGGTCAGTGGTTAGCGCCCAGGGACCCAAGGATCCTGGGTTTGATGCTGGTCAAGAGCCCGCTCCCGGCTGCAGGCGTGACCCCCGTCGCGTCGGGGAGGCAGCTCATCATGTGTCTCATCCATGTTTGTCCCCCCCCCTCACACACACACCCTCCAAGAATCAACGTAACACACATCCCGGGTGAGGATTAACCAAACAGTAACTCACTCAGGACACCTGCTAGCCGGTGGGCAGCGGACTCGGAGGACTGGGCCTGGGGTCTTGCCTCTGGGAGGATTAGGCTCAACTCCGAACACACCGCAGAGTGGGGTGCCAAGGAGCAGATGGGGGGTGGGGGGCTGCAGAACTCCGAAGGCAGGGAGTCCTGTTGGAGTCGCCCATGGTAAGATATGGGTGGGGGTGAGGGTGTGGTCAGACTGAGGGGGCCAGGGAGCGCCCCAAGGTGGGGCCTTGTCTGCGGAACCTCAGAGGAGCGCGTGTCCCTCAGCCACGCGGTGAAGCCCGGCGGCCACGAGGAGCAGGCAGTCCGGAGACCCGGGTCAGTGGAGGCCAGGGCTGGGGAGCGGGCGTGGCGGGAAAGCTGACGTCCCTCTCGTGGCCTGGACGGGGTGCCCAGCAGGAGACCGGCTGGAGCTGGAGGGGCAGGTGGGGTGACAGCGCGCCCCAGTCTCAAGGCTGGTAGCTCCTGGGCTTCAACCGGAGTCACCTGGGAGCTTCCAGACGCGGCTGCTGAGGACCCGCACTGCCAACACCCGCTTTCCACACTGACCCGCGGGCATCGGTGCTTCCGTGCTCCCGTGTGCCTCCCCCCTCGCAGCCCATGCGCGTGGGACTGCATCCTGGTCAGTGAAGCCTGAGTGTCAGGGGGGCCTGCATTCTTAGAAACAGCCGCTGCTGGGCTTGCTCTATGGAGCCCACCGATGCTGCACGTTCCACATGGAAGGCCAAGACCCTCCTGCAGGCATAAGGGTGGCGCTTCCCCAGGGCGGCCCATGGG